TCGGTCCAACAAAACATCTCAATGATGCAATCCGTTCAAAACGAAGAGTGACCGATGTTTATGAGTTATTACAAGCAATCAAAACTAATAAACACTTGCAGCTAACGGCTCTATGAGTGAGTCCCAAATATGCAGAGGTTAAATGTATTTTATTACGCCGTCCTCGCCTTTATTGTTGCTCAATGCCTTTGCATTTCCGGAATATTGTAACAAATGGAATTGTTCCAATTATTTTAACTAAGTATTCAGAGACAATTTCAATTTGAAATTTCAGTATTTCAGGAGGACGCTCTATCACTTCAATATCACTACATAAAAAACTAAAGTCGCTTTCCTGTCTGTCTGTCTCTATGTATGCTTAGATCTTTAAAACTACGCAATGAATTTTGATGCTGTTTTTAATAGATAGAGTGATTCAAGAGGAAGGTTTTTATTTTAAGTATAATACATTGTACCTGTGCGAAGCAGGGGCGGGTCGCTAGTAAGAATAAGTCGCATAATCAGAGTAGTAAAGACTGAAAGAAATATATCTGATGACGTCATTACTATGACACGTATATTCTTTACCATGTTTCTATGTACCTATGCCTAATCCTATAGCTATATCTTTGTACACCAATCCCAACATTTGATCCCCTTCAGTGACCTAATTTAAATCTCGAAACTATGTCGCGACCTCTAAGCGCAGAGCTTTTAAGTTAAACGAATCGAACGTTTAGATTTATACCTATAACCTTTTTAATTTATTATCTCAGTGAAACAAACTTTGAACCCACAATATACAAAAAGAAGACAGTAATGTTTTTCTTACAATTATCTAGACATTGTTTTCAACTGCGTTCTTTGTGGACGTAATGGTCATTTCTCAGTTTTACAGATGATAAGCGACGTTAGGCTATTTTTGGAAGCATTTGCCACAGGACGCTTTAGCAAAAAGGCAAAACAAACGACCACGTCATTCCGATTCTTGGAATTAAGTTTCGACTCTTTAAAATGGACGCTAAAATTTCAAAAATGATTTTGGCCAAACCATATTATGACAAGGCATAGACTAAACAGGTATAGGAGTTGTGGCCACAATACTATCGGCAATATTTAATTTGATATTTATTTTTTGTTATTTCTTTGTTATTTAAATGTTGTGCCTGGCTCTAATCGGAGTTCAGACTTAATATTGTGCTATGTTGTTGTGTTAATTGTATTGTTACTGTTTGTTCTCTGTAGCTGTGCCTTATATAAATAAATAAATAAGCCATTTCTAACAAAGCAGTAATCTACCTCTACATTGTAATGAATGTTATTTTTTTAACTGTGTTTAAATGTTTACTCTAGTAACTTTTTTTGTATTGAAAAGTTATATTATAGAGTGAGCTTTACATGTGTGGTGGCTCGCTACTGTTCGTTCTTCAAAAGTTCTGATAGACACACTATCGTTATGTGCATGTACACGTACACACACAAGTAAAGCTCACTGTCCTTCGTGAGTTGCAAGAACTATAATTAACATTGTGTGCTGTTATAAAACTTCTTTATCGAAGCTAAAAAATATTACTTTTTACAACACTTAATAACTTAAATCAGCTAAACACTTTTTGTACAAACAAAACAGACTCAGAAAACCTTCAAAAATACATTTAACCTTTTTACGACTACATACGAATTTTTGACATCATAAATTACATATTTTAGAAATAGCGCGTGACGTCTCTAGTGTTTTGCAAATACTGTATAATTTGATATACAACAAGAGACTAAATCGCATTGTTCTAATGTCCTTGCGAAGAGACAATTAGCTAACTTAATTTCAGAGTCACTTGAACAAAGTCACCATTGTTGTCTTGCGTCAAATATTCTGATAATACGTTTGGCAGTTCATAACTGCTTTATCAAAACAAAAACATCTATTTTATAGCNTTTATAGCGTTAAGACAATTAAATGCTAGTAACTGTGTGATTTCAAGTGATATAATATTTTGGGTCCACGTAGTGCTGTATTGTCAAACCGTATTTACGCCCGTTTTCACAAACGATAGTTGCTTAAGTGAAGCAGCCAATCGAACGCACAGCGTTTAATAGAGCTCTGTGATTGGTTCGTATGTCAGTTGTCACCCTGTGCGTCCACGCGCACTGTGATACCTTATAGTAATGTTTGTGAATACGGGCGTCAAACCACTACTAAATACTTTCCTACACACTCATAAATGATGCTTTATGTTACGAAGTTGCTTTGTTAACTAATAAACAATCGTAAAAACATGTTTTTCTGAGCTAAATAATTAATGCTGATCAAGAATCAGACCAATATGTCTTACGTATGTGATATGACGTTAGTATAACATATAAAAGCCCCCCGGAAAATTTTATACAAAATAAGTGATGCGACTTATAATTAATATTCACAGAATACCCAACCAACAGTATAAATAATCTATACTAATATTATAAATGTTGAAATACATAAAGCACAACACTATGATCGTCAATTGATTTGCACTTCACTAGTGTCAATTTTTTTTTTCTTCTCTCTGGTCGCGCCGAGCGTCCCGTTGGTGTTAATTTGTATTAATATAAAATGTGCTGAAATAAAAGCAAGTTGATCTACAAACAAGTTTATCATTATTCTCAAAATGGTAGCAGAGCGTGNGATCCGAACAAAAAATAGACCTTTGGACTATAATATTTTACACAGTATCTGTCGGAAGTGCAGAGCTCTGCACACGGCGGGAAACAAGACGCCAATGAATTCTAGAAATGGCGGACCTTCCTTCAATGGTCGGTCTCGCCCCTGCCAGGCGGTAGTGGTAGAAAGAGATAGCTCTATAGGGTAGAAAGAGATAGCAATATGAGGCGGGAAATGACGTGCCTATCTCAATTAATTAAGCTTCGAATAACGGTCAAGTCAAATTAATAAGGAGTTATTATTGGGCTAATGACCAAGTACAAGTTCAGTCATGTTTTATATTTTAATTTTTACTCGTTATGAAGTTACCCAAAAATAACTTATTATTAACATGAATTTTAGTTGTTCTTAAAGAACCTTTATGTACCAGACTTGTGATTTTTCCAGGTTAAAAATCTCCAAAACAAGGGAGGATGTGACGCGCCCCGCGACGCATCGACAGCCCTAGCACCGAGCGCAGAGATTTTGACAACCCTACGGCTGCGCGGCCGCACGCCGCACGGACCGAGCTAATATTTATATGAGACGGCGGCGACCGCGGGCGCCTAGCAGTGTTGCCAGAAGGTTACTTTTGTAACCTTTTAGGTTACTTTTGAACTGCATTGGTTACTTTTTGGTTACACTAATGAAAAGGTTACTTTTAGGTGATTTTTCAGAAATTGTAGAAGTAACTTTTACAGGTTATTCAGTAAACNATAGCTCTATAGGGTAGAAAGAGATAGCAATATGAGGCGGGAAATGACGTGCCTATCTCAATTAATTAAGCTTCGAATAACGGTCAAGTCAAATTAATGATAGTTTTTCGGCAGGCCGTTAAACAGTGATACTCGATGGTATTTTATAATTTAAGTCGATCACAAAGTACGTACGGATGTGATTCATTTTGCCTTTAAGGTTCGCTTTTTGTGATTTTCGAATTATGTCGAATGATACAATTGAAACAAATCGATCCAGTGTCCATAATAATTAATTTATAATAATGTAAGTATGCACAATGCGACGTGCATCGCGAGCTTGCGTTTGTACATAGACACCGTTGCTGGCATGCGCATGCGTCAACCTTTAGTTTGTGCAGCCACGACTGCGAGGTTGTGAATTTGATATCAAAAGGAATAACAATTCGTGTAATTAGTTTGTGAAGTACAATGTGATATACTTAAGACTTAGCGTTAGTTTGTGTGTTACGTGCGACCCTATCAGTTTCTTCACTTGGTAAAAAAATCCACGCATTTTATCGTTTACTGTAAAGGAGTGATTTGTTGTGTCGGATTCGCCCCTTATGAGATAAAAAAAAAATTTAAAAACTAAAAAGCAATAATTTACAAGCACAATACCTATTATCTCGTAGAGGGGAATCCATCATCAAAGCACATTTCAAATTGTAATCGGTCGCACGCCGCAGTATCCACAATAATTACAATTAAAAAATTAAAGATCTCATTGTTACTTAACACGAGTACTACGTATAAATAATTAATAATAACCAGTTTTGTAAATATTTAATTTTTATAGTCAGTTTGCGACTTTGCGAGGCCCGCTTGCGACCGGAGCGCTCGCCATTTCCAAGTTAGTATCTATACTTACTCGTAGTGTTAGCAGTAAGCGGTGAGGGCACGCGGGGTGTGCTGTGCGTCCGTGTCAGATCGGATGAATTCATGACCACGGTCTCATCTGGCAGTGTGTTTTTATTTTGAAGTATATCATCGACTTGGAAATCGGCATCGGTCCGCAGAAAAAGTGAAGTTCGTCCCGTGCGTGGCTCACCCGCACCTCCCGCGCGTCGCCGACCAGAATGAACCGTTCGCTAGCTACAAGCCGCGTTCTTCTAAAGCCTGGTCCGTGAGCACGTAGAATTTTGTCCAATGACCCCAAGCTACCCATCCTTATCGCTCGCGCGTAATTATATTGCTGTCGCGACTGTGCGACGGACGGCCGCAGTGAGTGTGCGAGCGCGAAAGCAACATAATTACGCGCGAGCGATAAGGATGGGTAGCTTGGGGTCATTGGACAAAATTCTACGTGCTCACGGACCAGGCTTTAGGAAATTCGATTAGCCTGTCCCTTTTGAAATAGCCGTGTTTATCTGAGCAAGTTGAGCTTGTCCGGTATCCACTTAATTTTTACCTTAAGATAATAAATATAAAGTAATATGTAATTGGATACATAACTGCTACGTTGCCCAATTATTACTCGATGAATACTAACAAAGCCTCCAGGATACCGAATTACTGATCGAAGCGGGTACATTAACTTTAGGTAAATCCACATCATCGATTCAACTCAAAGAATTATGACGGAATAAGCATTTAAATTTGATTCAAGCTGCAACTTGCATCATCTGGCTAATCTCTGCATGCTGTCACGTCGCGGTAGATAATCCTAAAATTATGTAATTTTTCTAGTCTCACTTATGGATATGGGGCACCACTATCCTGTCTTACTTGTACTAGAATTACGAACGTTAATTAAGCGAAACTGACATTTTGTAAAACTGTACCTATTAGTGAAATATACGGCATGATAAGAAAATATACTCTTGTTCAGTGCAATTAAGACATTTATTTTAATATTAGTTAATTGTTTATAAAATTATTTGACTATACATAAGAATGTTTTGTAAACTGACTTGTAATATTTTATTACCCCCAGATAATTGTAACAAATTTCCATTAGTGGCGTAGCAACACCGACGACGCAGGCGCCGCACACGGCCGCGTGGCGGCTCCTTGAGACACTGACTAAATTAAAGCGGTAATATTTATGACAATCTGCATGTTTTATTTTATTTTTATTATGTTATTTTAAAATTTACGCTTGTCTCATTATTCGATTACTAATTAAAAATAAAACATAGGATCGATTCTAAAGTATATAATCATTCTAAAGTCATATAAAACACAAATAGTATATCAACAATCGTAAATAGGTGTGCCATTTAAATCATACATTCTCTCTGTAACCCTATAGTTAGTACATGTAATTAATTCATGTTGCTGTTCGCAGCAATTACATCTACAAACGAATTGTGATTATAAACGTGCATTACAACGTAAAATATTGTTAATCATATTTGCCATAACATAGGTATTTATTAACTTTTAACATGTACCACATGCCATTCTGTGCGCAAATAACAAATGCAAAATAGAGTCCTATGATTTTCAAATATTAGCAAGACGTTGAACTCTATATCTTTAATGTAATGCACTATGGAAAACGGGAACAATATTTTCTATTGCCAACTATTATATTTGTCACCAAAATATATCATGTAATTAAATATCTTTGTATACCATGTTTAATTTGCAAATAAATTGTGATTATTATCAGTTAATATTGCTGTTAGTAATTATCAGGAAAAATCAGGTGATTTTATTCTGGTGACAAAAATCATACTCTTGATTTAGGAACATTTATTAAATTTGTAAGATTTAGCGAACGTATTTTGTACTAAAATGTACCACTTCACTGTTACTGACTAGAGTCACCTGTTGGGCTTGCGTAAATGCTAATACATAATACAACACTTAATACGAAAATCGGCAGTAAAGAACCCATTTGAAAGTAAAACAGGCTGGAGTCAAATAACTCCAATGAAATCAATCACATGACACAATAATAAACAATTCATAAAATTGCAAAGATAACACTTAATTTATAACTATCTACTTTGGGTATTGTTACATTGCTTCCTCTAATAATAGAAAATGTTAGCAGCAAAAATATTGTATCAATATTATAGAATATAATTATCACTAACTTGGTGCATGTATTTATTTTTTGGTGCCAAAGAGAGCTGCCAGTGGCAAGTAAGAGTATAAAATATATTATTAATTATCACATTTAATAGAAACATCCCCTTTTCAGAATTCATACTAAGCATATTTATCTATCTACAACTACATATACAACAAAAATTGTCCTATATCATTGAGAATTCGAGTGTGTGTTCTCTGCAATAATAGTATTCATGCATAAGTCTTTGACAGGAAATAATTCATCAATCATTACACTTATCACAAGATATTAAACTTTTACAATCAAAATATCATCTCATTATCCTTAATTCAAGCAAAGAACTTTAATAGTATACTTATGAAATCTGATTTATTACAATTTGTTAAACTTAAAGACAATAAGTACTACACGCACATTGTGCATAACAATAGCTGAGAGGTGACTATAGACACCAGTGACTTCAGAATCTTTCAATTTACATCTTATTTACATAGATATAATACAGAGTTGTTATATTAGATAATAGAAACTTCGCTAAATCTGAAAGAATGTATGCTACTGTGAACAGGGAAAAATTCACTTTGATTCTGGCTTGTCGGGTTTGCTAGGCTCCGCCTTCTTTTCGTCGTCCTTGAACAGAAGCGGCGTCATGCCCAGGAAGCAGCCGATCGTAATGCCTATCACTCGGCCCTGTAGGGGAAATAAATTGCAGGTTGAGAATTAAGATTGGTGGTGTGTTGTAGACTTGTAGTCAGTAGTTAGTATAGATTGTAGATTATTGGTTACTGGGTGGAACAGTATTATCGTTATTAATCTCGAATGATCTGAGTAGGTAGTAACTATAAAATTATCACTGTCACGGGATTTTGCAACAAACTGCTGACTGTACCACTGACGAAAACATTGTGCAAATGCGGGTGAGTGAAGAAAATTCATCGCGCTCGAGCAGACGACGCCGCATTTCTTCAGTCTGCCCGCGATCAGACTCGTGCAGCCGTAAAACGTCGGGAGGGTAAATAATCTGTTTACCATTAATAAAGTGTTCTTTATCATTATTAAAGATGGAGGAGGTTTTTACCCAAGTGGGGCCACAAACAAGAGATACAGATTAATTGAATGACACTGTAAAAATGTGGAATATAAAGCTATAATAATAAATAAAAAGTGTTCTTGTTGCAAAATCCCATGACAGTGATAATTTTATAGTAAAAAAATGCAAGTTTAAAATATTAGGTAGAGTAACTATTTGCTATCTGTGACACAAGAACATGTCATGGCCCACGGGAGCAGCGTTTGAGGTGGTGTGTGCAGTGGGAGCGGCACTGACCATGTTGGTGAAGCGGCGCGTGACGGGCATGTCGAGCTGCACGGGCGACAGCGCGGGCGCGCCCAGCCCGATGAGCGCGGCGGCGCGCTCCACGTAGTACGACGAGCCGATGCCGATGACGTCGCTGAACGTGTTGCCCAGCGCCGCCGCCGCCATCGTCGACAGCGTGATGTACGCGCTCATGCTGCTCTCTATGCTGTCGCCCTGCACAACACGATACAATCGTGACATTGTATTTGAACAATAGGCTAGTTTCCTAAAAAAAATTTTTTAGTCCGTCATGTTAATATCAAAAAATATTGGACACATATATTTTTATTTGTCAATCTAACAAATAATTACATAGTTATGGTGCGTTGAAGTTCCGCACGACGTCACAACGTGCGGCACTTTTATGCACGCATTGACGTCATGGGCCTTTTCTTATGAACTTTGGCGCGCTTTATCTCTTTAAATTTTCATTAGTTTGAAAAAGTGAAAAATACGTGTAGAGTATTTTTTGATAAGTTAACTGACGGACTAATTAAAACTCTTGCTTTTTGACCCAGGAAACATCCCTATTCAATGCTGTAGTTTAATGAATTGAGCTTCAGCATTGAACTGTTCAAATTGACTTGTCACATCAGTGAGGTAGATATGGAAATAATTAACTACTTTTAAAACAAATTTTAACTACATCTAACATCTGTAATCACATTGTATTTGAGATATTAGATTGCCCATTTACTTAATATTTTAGACATTTTTTTTATGCTACACAAGGCATTTGACCGCAATCACACCGCAATTTGACATATTGAAAACAAACCTGTGGATTTTTACAGGTGATAAAATTGTTCATGATTTCAAATGAGTCATATAAAGAAAATTGTAGACTTAAATAAAAAAAAAAAAAAAAATATTACCATGAGGCCCATGAGTAAATCAGTCTCTGACAACATTATACAAAACATTATGATGTAATGTTGACTCATAATTAATAACTGATTCATTCACATTTCGCACTGTGTAATTATTGAATTGTTGTATACTAAACAAATATCTATTTCTGAAGTATGTAATGCTTTTCAAACTCTTTAATATAATTTATTACATCCGTAATGTTGCAAGAGGTGCTAATCATTTACTAACTTAAATTAAAAGAAACACTCACCGCAATAATCATAATGAAGTTGTCCAAAAACCCAAAGCCAATGAATGGTATAGAATTGGATAATGATACTGAAAAAAGAATATGTCGTTTTAGATGTTATTGTATTATTCCAAACTAATCTAATAAACATCTGTTTACTTACAGTGCAACAGCTCCTTGGTACTGGGTTTGGGTATAGTAGAAGCTGAAATACAAAAAATGGTATTTATAATAAAGTTAAGTCATTTCCAAATGAACATTAAGAATCATTGAATTCTCAAAGAAGTTATTTATTAGCATGAAGTATGCCAGTGATAACACTGCAAATTGTAAAGTCAACATAATTAACTGGGGCATTAGATAACACAAACTGTAGCTTGTAGTTTTTGATCTAAAACTTTGTCAACTAACCATATTTCTTCTTCAACCAGTCTTCAGGCACAGGGCAATAGGTTCCCGTTGGATCGACGTCTCCCAAAGAAGGGACTTTGCTAGGTCTCCCTAGCTTACTTCTCCAGCGTAGACCAGCCAATTTGTCTACAAAAAACATTATTCAATAAGTACATCTCCGAATAGTTTGGAACTCTAGGAATAAATCAACCTGCCTTCAAATTCTTCCTTGATTCTATTGGACTCGTATTCTTGTAATGCAGAAAATAACACTTTCCGCTCTTCATCTTTTAAATGCAGCACAAGTTCAGTGGCGTGCACTTTTGTTAAGGGCCCTGTTAGTTGGGTTTGTTCGTCGAAGTCTTTAGATGTAGGACCTAAGCCTAATTTACGAATTTTCATTGCTATTGGGACAAATATTTGGGACTTTGAATACACCACTGTAGCACTATGTCGCACTTGTAAGTTTGATGAAGGATTTTTGTGGCAACATGAATTGAATCGAATTAATGGCCGAGTACATAATCGTTTGATTACACGTGCTGCCGGCATATTGCAACTAAATACTTTAATTTAGCACAACAAATACAAATAAAATTCTATTTCCGACGTTCAACTCATTTGATGTAAGAAAAAACACGTTCCGTTCCGATCCACGATGTTAACTGTCACTCAAATTTATTTATTTATTTGTAATAGGTATACAAACAGTTTACAGTCTGGGCTTCATCGTAAAGAAAAAGTGTTAATTACATACTGGACCGTAAGCCAAAATTAGTATACACAGCATGATAAATTAAATTAAATTACAAGTACTATCCAAAAATAAATACAGTTCTAACTTAACTCTAACAGTTACAACACAATATTATGAAATTTTATTAGATATTTTATACTAATTGCGGTGATTACGACGGAAGCAAAAGATTACCCAGAAGACATTACCCACCGTTCCCACCGGGAGACGCTGTCGTTTCGTCATTTTTGAGCAAGTCGGATATAGCCTTTTTATACTGAGGAAATTTACTATTAAATACATCTATGTCCTTGCCCGCACGAGCCAACTCATTATATGCGCGACACATCCTGACTAGAGGGTTGTAGTAAGAAGTATTGTTTTTGTATGCCTGTATTGCGAAGATGTTAGACTTCGACCCACGGGATCTATGTCTGGTATTAATACTGAGTGAGGAGAGAAGATCTGGAGCATCTATCCGGGAGTGCAAGATTTTATGCAGATAAAGTAGGTCGTATCTTCTGCGGCGGGTACTTAGAGGAATTACGTCAAACTCCGTTAACCTTTCACTATAGTCTTTTAGTGAACGACCGTAGTGATTCTTGCGTGATATGTATCTTAAGCATCTACGTTGGACTCTTTCTATGTTTTCAATATGGACGTTATAATATGGAGACCACACCGGGCTGCAGTATTCTAGAATGCTTCTGACTAAACTATTAAACAGATATAGCACACTGCGAGGTTTCCTAAAATCTTTCGTAGTTCTTATTATAAATCCTAAGGCACGATTACTTTTTTTAACAATTTGGTCGTAATGTGGACGGAATGTTAGCTGCTCGTCGAACAAAACACCTAGGTCTCTGACGGTGTCCCTTCTGGATATTAATTGATCGCGTATGTAGTAAGAGTGTACAAATCTATTTTTCTTTTTTGTAAAAGTGATAACACAACACTTATCTACGTTGAGGGACATTTTATTGGATGAGCACCAATCATCGATAACCTTTAGATCGTTCTGCAGCACCAGAGCATTACTCTTCCTATCAACACTCGTGAAAATCTTGAGATCATCGGCATACAAGAGGGCATGAGAGGATAGTCTGTCAGTCAGGTCATTGATGAACATGACAAATAGGAGCGGTCCAAGGTGCGACCCTTGTGGAACCCCAGAGGTGACCTGTATGGGTGAAGATGTGTAACCCTTCACAGTAACGAGCTGAGTCCTATTTTTTAAATATGATATTATCCACCGTAGCAGACATCCGTGGATCCCATAGTGGGATAGTTTCTGGCAGAGCAAGGAATGGTTAACCTTATCGAAAGCTTTGCTGAAATCCAGATAAATTGCATCCGTTTGGCCTCTAACAGCAAAAGTTTGACAGAGATAGTTTTTAAAAACTAGTAAATTACTAAGTGTCGATCTATTTTTAACGAAGCCATGTTGTTTGTTCGTGATATACTTATTCAAGTGAGAGTAAAGAGTAGTGTAGACGAGTGACTCAAATAATTTTGCCAAACAAGAGAGGATGCTTATAGGCCGATAGTTAGCGCATGCTGTTTTATCACCCGCTTTGAAAATGGGTATAATATGTGCGACCTTCCAGCGTGTGGGAAAAATACCAGACTTAATAGATTTATTAAATATAATGGCAAGAGGAGAACACAGCTCCTCAGAGCAATATCGAACAAATTTGGGTGGAATATCATCTGGACCAGGGCCTTTACGCGTGTCAAGTTGTTTAATTTTTGTGTCTATATCTTCCGCGGTAATTTCAATATTATGCAAAGAGAAATTAGGCACATCAGGCATGTCCACCAATACAGCAGACTGAGTGCACAAGTCATAAACTGACCCAAAATATTCCGAAAAGAGTTCACAAATGCCTTGACCATCCGAACATGTTTTATTATTGAATGTCATTTGGTTAGGAATAGTAACACCACACTTTTTATCGTTCACATAACGCCAGAATGCACTAGGATTTTCGGGTAGAGACTTCTCGAAAATAAAGACACATTATAAAGTTGGTAATATTAGTTTTTCAAAATAGGGACTTAAGGGGTAGTTTAAAGTTCAATTCGAATTAATCCCGCTAAAGGAAATATTACTAAAAGGGATTTGTTGTGTTTAATAATTAATGATGACCTTTTGCTAGACCGGAATTAAACACCATTGGTGGGTGGGGTAGAAAGGGATATTAAATGTTACTTTGATATTAACCAGAAAAAGGCTACAGTGCCAAGATTTCACTTAGCGATAAATATTTCCATTAAGAAAAACTAAACTAAGCAGAGCTATAAAATATGAAAGATAGTTTATTTATTTATTTTTTATTGGGCTATCAACATGAGATACAGTATTAAACACAATAGTAATTTTTCTGATGATTTCTGCTCTTCAATTATTTACTTTAAGTTAAAGACACATAGATAGGACGACAGAAAATTTATATCCTTATATTTGACGACGCAAATAACTAAAAGCGGACTTTAAAGACGTGTATGTATGAAAAGCGAAGCTATTAATATCAAATATTTATACATAATGAAAGATAAAAGTAAATTAAAGTACAACTTTATCTTAAGTCTCAAATACTTTCATCCCTCTCACGTTTAAAGTGGGACATTACTCAAGCATAGCGGAAATTCTATTGAGCGACAATAACATATAGACCTGAAATAAATAAATAAATAAATAAATATCCTTAGACATTTTACACTGCGCTTCTAGTCCCAAACTAAGCAAAGCTTGTACTATGGGTACCAGACAACGGATATAAACATACTTAAATACTTTTTTTTGTAAATACATACTTATTATACATAGAAAACACCCAGTCCAATACAAACAAATATGTTCATGCACACAACTGTTTGTACTGTGCGGGAATCGAACTATACACTACACCAAACGGCAGACTCCTTCCTTTACTTCAAATTAAACTATGTAAGTAACCTCTGTTGTTTGTAAGTAGTCAAAGGATATTCGGCCTAATAAAAAAAAAATGTTATTTCTTTCTCTCTTTAACGCAGAAATAAGTAGGTAGCCCCGCAGTTTTGCCATAAGTTCTAGCCTAGCTTTTGCATAGCTTCGCTTTAAGCTAGCAACCGGTTGAAATCAGCGTTCGTTAACTAAGTCCAGTCGCTGTTTCTAATTAAACCAATGCGTGATATTCGGTCCACATCACGACTTTGATATTTTACTCCTCACTTAGCTTGTTTCACGTCACTGTACACGTACAGAGATGTCAGTTGGCACAGTAGCTAACAATCCAGTTAATTGCCGTTTCTGGAAGTGAAGTGGCTCTATCCGATATCTTGATAACGTATCTTAATCTAAGATGTAATTTCAATCAATAGAGCATGCGGTTATTTATTATACCAAAACGTAAGTATTTCTGAAGATGAATGGATGGATGGTTCCTTTTTAAATTATGTGTTTGTGAACTTATACTTTCACTAAACTTTAAAAAATTTATACCAGAACGGCACATACAGTGTAATTAGTATTAGTTGTTTTTTATCAAAAACTATGTGGAAAAAGTCACAGGCAAAAGCTAGTGTTGCTATTAGTTTTCTGAAGAAATTAAAGAAAATATCTACCTTTAGTGATGAAATATCTGTACAAATTCTAAATTATATCTGAAAGTCGCTGCCACATTCTAAACTTAGAAAAAATATTTACCGTTTACTCGTTTCGCTTTTGAAACGTTTCTAAAATGCAAATCTGATGGAAAACCTATACACCGACCATTTGCACTGACATAAAAGTTATACCCTGTATCGTTTGATCGCTTCAACGTATTTACCGACAGGGCGTATGCAAATGGTCGGTCGAATTTAGCGCTGTTCCCAACCTGTCACACCGAAACGAATAACACTGTTACTGTTACTCGTTGGGAAAAAAATCTATCTTTATTTATTGGGACATTTGTTTACCTATCTTCACAACGGTTCACTTAATCATCATCATCATCATCTTATCTTATCTTATCTTATTTAGGGCCGCGCATGAGCGCAGTGCACGTCGACCCATTGGGATCTTTTGTGCTATCATCATCATCATTTCAGCCACAAAAAGTCCACTGCTGAACATAGGCCTCCCCCAATGACTTCCATATCGCCCAGTTGGTAGCGACCTGCATCCAGCGTCTTCCTGCTACCTTTATAAGGTCGTCGGTCTACCTTGTGGTTAAGTACCTTTAATGTCAGGAAAGAAAAGATGGCGTTAAATGTACACAAAGCGCAAAATATGTACATTAAAAAATTAAATTACTTAAGTAAGCTAAAGCTGACGTTCAGAAAATACAGGCTACAGTGTGACCGGTTGGGAAGATGGACAATCAAATATTCTAACGAGTAAACGGTATTACTTGATGGTAGTTTTTTTCCCAACGAGTAAGAGTTACACGTTTCGGTGTGACTGGTGGGAACAAGCGGAATTTAGTATCCAATACTGTTCCATTTAGGTATTGCTGCCTTTTATTAGCGTACAAAATCCATCCACTACACTCTGAGCGACAGTGTTGTAAAATATCGTTATAGTAGATAAACCCTATCTATATCGATTTTACTCGAGGGTACAATATAGCTATCGATACGTCTGGATGCAGCACAGGACCGGTTGTTACTTTTTTTTTTATCTACAACGAGGAAGCTCTTGGCCTGTATCTCACCTGATGGTAAGTGACGATCAGGCCGAAGGTGGAAGCGAGCTTCACCCGGAATCCTCAACCACGGAGAAACTGGCTACCTTACCTCTAACCGCCGGAACACAACAATGCTGTTAACATTGTTGTTATGGCGACAGACTTAGGTAAGACGGTGGTAGCTAGCCAGGCGGACTTAGAACAAGCCCTACCACCAACCAAATCGAATAGAAAAATCTGCCCCCACTGGGAATCGAACCCGGGACCTCTGCGTCTGAAGCAGGTGGTCTTACCACTAGACCACAGAGGCGGTTAAACTCTTTGCTCTGATCCAACAGTGGACATTTTTCGGTTGAGGAAAAGATGATAGTTATTGATACACCTTTAGGTATAAGTGTGGTCGTTCCCATAGAACCGAGATCCCGCCTCGCCAAAAGTTTTACGAAACACTACTTGATGGAAACCTTATGAAAACTTTCATTGTTATCTAGATTTTCTGGTATGCCTGGATAACACCTGAGACTTATTTAAAGAATAATAACAGTTCACTACAGAAACTGATTTAAAAATCGTCACATATTGTATAATTTCTAATGAAGGAAGAGCCAAGCCATTGTATACAAAAAAATAATTATATTATTATCCCTTCTTGCTAGTTAAAGAAATGACGAATCACGTTGCTATTACCACTCCTTTCCATATTTACGTATAAACCGCTATCGTCATTTAGATCATTCGTGATTGTGTAGAACAATACCAAAATAATAGGTATTATCAATCATTTCCCTTGTTAACTCGGCTTGTGTAAAAACATGTTCGCGTGCTACCAATTTACACAAAAATGTCCAATGCCCATAGTTTTTTATTTGCGTTAATAGAATTCTTTGTCCAACTTTGGCTCGTGGGGTCATAAAAATAGCTAAAACCAGTAGAACTTGGCATGTCTAAAAAACGGCTGGATTTTACAAAATTTGTTACTACCTACGTTGAGGTGCTTACTTGCGGACTTTTTGCGGCATGCCTTGGTAATATAAAGCAAGAAGGACGTGGAAGTTAGCAAGTAAGGATTTGTACTTTTTAGCCTAAATTAAGCTAGTAATAGAGCTGTTAATTGCGTTATAATTGATGAGGTTATTTCAGCTAATTTGGCTCTGAAATTCAACAAAACAGATTATAGAATAGCCTTTTAAACAAGGGATATAAATTACCTATTAGATCTCGAATTTACAATCTTAATCGTATTATTTGGTTTTCTTTGAATCATATTAAATATCATTACATTTTAATTGAAATATATAATATAATAAAGTTTAATGATATCAGTGTAATTTGCTGAAATAACAAACTGAAATTAATGTGGTACGTTCTAACTAAAATACATGGAACATTCATTAAAATAGTTGGTTTACTTTGGTTACGAGTATTTCAAGGGAGTTCTGTTAAAATTTAATTTAAATCTCGAGATAGTTTGTAAAAACTTCTATTGCATACCACGCAGCGGCAGTTATAATGTTAACTATTCTATAGTTCGCATTGTTGACTGCTGGCACGCAAAGGAAAAGCCAAATTCATTGGCTTCAAAAGGTTCTAGACAGTTTATTAAAAAATAAAAAATACACCATTATTAATTTTAGGTCTAACAAGTTCATATCTGTTTTTGAGAGTCTAAATTGAACACAGCTCAAGCTGTCATAGAAGCTAAATGCGAGTAGACACTCATATCTTCAGCAAGTTTTCAGTTTTCTAATATAATTTTGA